AGGACGCCTCAAACGAGATCCCCACTTTGAAAAACACTGTCATTCCTCATGCACGGCGTTGCATGTCCTTAACGCGAATGCGCGCGGTGATATGACAAAAGCCACAGTCTGGGGCCGACCCCTGCTTTTTCCCTGTAGCTGATTCAAGGACTTAGAGCGACTGTGCCCGGCGCTAAAGCGAGAGCTCCATTTTGAAGCGGAACCGCCATCCATCCGTCGAATTGCTGCAACATGGGAAGGTGAATGTGCGCGGTGATGAAGCGTGAGCTCTTGCACATTCCATCCTTGAAACTGCTGCACACTTTCATGACGATTCGGTGCGGTGCTGGAGCGAGAGTCCCACGTTGAAAAACAACCAACCACCCCATCCTGGAAACTTTTGTGCACTTGTTAGTCGATTGTGGCCGACGTTTGGACGAGGGCATCATTTTGAAATTGCCCCCCTCCAACCCCGAAACTGTCGCAAGCATTGGAACATAATGTGCGCGGCGCTGGTGCGAGAGCCACATTTGAAAAGGAGCAGCCATCCATCCGTCTAAATGCTGCGAGCGCTCTGGCGGACCGTCCTACATCCTTCAAGCTGCTGCAAGCTTTTCAGAGGAGTGCGCGCAGCGCTAAGGCGCGAGTCCCGTTTTGATAACAAACCGTCCTCCATCCTTGAAGTTGTTGCAAGTTTTTCCAGGCGAACGCGCGCAACGTTAAGGCAAGAGTGCCCCGCTTTGCGAGTGATTTCCAGATCCATCTTTGAAGCTGTTGCAAACTTCAAGTTGATGGATCAGAAGTAGTAAGTCAGGCGAAACGCCCAGCCTGCCCTATCGACACGTCGATGAGTGCGACAGGGAGGAGGTGCTTATATGGAAAAGGGATAGAGAAGGAATGGGAGGAGGAGGAGGAGGAGGAGGAGGAGGAGGAGGAGGAGGAGGAGGAGGAGGAGGAGGAGGAGAGGAGGAGGAGGAGGAGGAGGAGGAGGAGGAGGAGGAGAGAGAGAACCAGGCAGGTGTAGGATGAGTACAGAGTCGCTCCAGTGCGTTCCAGAACGCTCTGAATCGGCCGCGGTGCCAGATATCGTCCTCTAGACCTGCCAGCTTTCAAAGATTCCTGATTTATTTCCATCCGAACTCATCTTCATCCCACCTTCGCTTCCGAGAAGGTCGAGGAGGAGTGAGGAAGGAGGAGGAGGAGGAGAAGGATGAGAAGGGACGCGCGAGGAGGGAGGAGTAAGGAGGAGAAGGGACGATTAATACGAGGAGGAGGAGGAGGAGGAGGACAAGGAGGAGGAGGAGGAGGAGGAGAAGGAGGAGCAGGAGGAGAGACGAGGATTATGGAAAAGGGCGAGGATAAGGGAAGAGTATGCGGAGGACGAGGAGGAGGAGGAGGTGGAGGAAGGAGGAGGAGTAGTAGTAGTAGTAGTAGTAGTAGTAGTAGTAGTAGTAGTAGTAGTAGTAGTAGTAGTAGTAGTAGTAGTAGAAGAAGGAGGAGGAGGAGGAGAGAAGAGGGGAAGGACGCTGCTCCCTCTTCCTCTCTCTACCCTGTTTCTGGTTTTCCTCCTCCGGGGCCCCGCTGTTCATTTGCACCGGTCCTGACCAGGTACGTCCTGGGCCCAGCACCAGTCGGTTTGCTCGCCTGCCGGGTTTAAGCTAGGAGTCGGCACGAACGGAGTTGGGCGGAAAGAACGGGTAAGATGCCCAACAGCAGTTCTTGTTCATTTTGGAAAGGACTCGCTGTCCGCTGCATGCGGACGTTGTCCTTTTGACACAGAAAGGCGGCTGCTCAACAGCGGCCGCTGTTGGTTTTGGACAACAGTTGTTCATGGGCATCGTACCCCTTTTTTCCGTACCCATTGCGGGCGTGCCAATAGGAGGGCGTGCGCAGACATCGGCAGGGGTTACAAAGCGATGCGGCAACGCTTCCTGCTCCTCCGCCTCATGCCCCTCTTCTCCTAGGCGGACGGCGTATGCGGCCGTTGACCCCATCACCCTCCTTCTCTTGTCCTCAGCACTCGCTGCATTTGGTGTGTGTCATCCTATCGGCATCCGCTCCTCTGGCTTCTTATTCTTTTCAGAGCAGGAGCTTTGGCTTGGCGTGTCGCTCCGCCGGTTCTGGCCCACCGCGCTCCGGCGCGACACGCTGTCCACGTCCCAGTCCCCAAGCGTCAACGGCCCGAGCTTTCCCCGGCCGCCTGCCCCTCGGAGCGGAGCGACATGCTGTCCGCCTGCCAGACTAGGGGGACGAACCATGACTTAAACCTACAAGCTTGGAGACCCGCGCGGATTTCTCGGATCCGCGCTGGGAGCCCCCTGGCGGCGCCTCCGGATCCGCCCCTGGCGCGCTCCGCGCGCTAGGGAGGGGGGTCCAGCGCCGATGCGAGAAATCCGCGCGGACCTCCGATTTTTCTATTTGTCAGTCTTCGCCCCCTAGAGACATGGCATGTTGTGCGGGCCGCTGCCGCGACACACGCTGAGCCAAAAAGCTCCCGACCGCACGGAGGTGGTCGCCAGCC